AAGATTCCGTTTTTTTTTCATTTCACAACTGATGTTCAAAGTAACATGGGCTTCAGACTGAGCCACTGAACTTGGCAGGAGCAACAATCATAATAATATCCTTCTTCTGAGGAGCTCAATACTAATTATTATTTCACCTTGCCTTGTTGCCAAGTGAACTTATCATCAAGATTTTTCAATTTATTTTTAAGTCAGCACCAAATGACTACTGCGTATTCTAGCATCTGCGTTTGTTGCCATTTTTTGTCCAAAAGTTGCCACAAAAAGTGGCAAAATTTGCCAAAAAAGTTGCCATTAATTTTCAAGCTTTCAACTCTCTGTAACGACGTAATATAGCAATATGTTGATAGAGGTAACAATCTATAGCACCAGAATTTCTTGTACTCTGTTTTGAGTATCCAGAACATCATTTGTAGTCACCAAGAGGGTAAAAACGTTGAAAATAAAGGTTTCACAATAGAATGAAATCAAAATTAGAACAGCACGTATAAATAACCACAAAAATTAACTAATTAGGGCGCGTGTCCACCTATCTAAAGATTGGCTGTTTTAACCCTAAACGTGTGTAATTCAAGAAGAAGTAGGCTTGCAGGATACCACATGTAAATTATATTATGGAATCACACACAATTGGGGTGTGCCAGTGCCAGTATTCGGTTTTGGAGGAGACACGCTCTAAAAGGGTGGGAACAGCATTAAATTAAATGACATTACGCTGTTAAAACGCAAAAAAAAAAGAAAAACGAATAATCAGAACAATTTGTAGAAAAATTAACTCACCAACAAATTAAAACACAACAAAGAGGGAATAATAAAAGACAGATAGCAATACAAATAGTGTGTAATGTAATGTACTTATATTCTCCGCATGAAAATAGATACACGTGAACATCTTAAAACTTATCAAAATACAAGTCTAATATGTTATGGAGTAGCTTTGTTGTTTTGTCCTTTTTTTGAAAACTTATGCAAAAATCGCGGCCGCGATTCGCGGACCAAAAAATACAATTCGCGGGTCGCGGCCGCGATAAACGCAGATGCTAGTGCTAGCGTAATGCACACAGAGTCGGGGAAAACGCATTTTGACGTAACGCCCCCCCCCCCCCCCCCCCAAATCGATCAAGATTTTCTAGTACTTGACCTGCGCATTCTTTAATCAACCTTTTTCTTCTTGGATTGATACGATTTCACTCTTTTTATCACATTGGAGGAAGACCAAATCCCACCACATTTTTCAATATCCTTTGACTTTGAAAGTTTCATTTTAGTTTCAACTTTCTTATATTCAGTATTCAAATATATTTTTAAAAAGTATCTTCGGCCGTTAATAATAATTTTGGTCACCCTTGTATTACCTAAACTAGTCATACCTTTATTGACAGTTGTTTGTTTACATCAGTTACATTAAAAATCCAGAGTTACTTGCTCCTGACTTCTGGCTCTGCAGGTGATTTTTTTTTTTTACCTTTCGAAGTGAACTAGGGTAGTGTAGTAAAGTTCGAATTTCTTTTACAAAATTTTAAGCATTTTAAACAAAATGACATTTTTAGAGAGCTAAATGATTTATCTATCAATATAATGTCCCCCGGGAGCGTTTTCTATTGTTAATGAAAAAGAATTTTGAAGATAAAAAATATATTTACTATAACTTTTTACACAAGCGTCGTAGGAACTCCGGGTGGTTTGCAAACTCTTCAGCGTCCAATTCTACTACAGAATCACGTAATTTCTAAGGTCACCTACAACGATTAGCGAAAGAAAATTCAGCTCGAATATACCGCCCAAAACGCGCTGCACTCTAAATTTGTCAAAATTTGCGTGCCACGCTTTGCAGCAGAACGCGTAACGAACCTTGTAGTTTAAACTCAAAAATCGATAATGTTACACATTTCTCCCCCCATTGAAACTAAATGGCAACAAAAAGCACATATAGACCTCTCGTTTCATGTTGGTTTTATGATGGTAGGCTAAGAACTAATAAAGTTATGAGCCGAGAAAGAGAAAAAAACGGGATTTTAGCGGAAATCCCCACTCGCCGGGCGAGCGTGAAACCCCCTGCAAGCGGCCCGGGGGAAAAAAGCAATAGAATTCAGAGAACTGATTACATACAATGGAGAATACCCGAACCAATGAGTGATATTTTGACAACGTGGAAATGTTTAGGTCAGCTTCTTATTTTAGAGTCATTGAGAGAACGTATGGTGTGATTCTTGATTTTTTGTTTTGTTTTATAATGCTCTAGATCTTGTTCTCAGACACATCCCGGTTCTCTATTGTGGGTATCATTTATCCAAATACAGGCCAAGGGAAGAAATGTCACATACACGCGACTTTTATAGCCAGACAGATATTTTTTGGTCCTTCATTTGAGCGTAATAAATAATAATAATGATAGATAGCATTTGTATAGCGCATATCCCCGCTCAACAGCAGGCTCTATGCGCTTTACACTATATTATTACCCCAGCAGACCATAGAACACTCCGAAACATTCTCAGCT